GAAAGAAGTTGAGTTTTGTACTGTTTTAATTTTTTTTAATTAGTGACCTGAGTAACAGCTGTTTGATAAGGCTATACTACTACTAAGTTTCATTATCATAAGGTTTGACCTCAGTTATTATTCTTTCTTTCTGCCTTAGCTGCTGCATGGTCAGCCCCAAAGTCAACCACAGCATGAAGGCCATTTCATGAAGTTCACCTTTCTCATCTCCATGAGCACTGCACAGCAGCTTGGCAGCAACCTCAGGCTTGCAAAAGGCCACATGGACTGGGATCTGCAGATTGCGGAGGTCTAATTTCTCTCACAATGGGCAAATAGAATAGTCTAAGATTTCATTTACTTGCTGGAATATTTTTGAAAACAATTTCTCAAAGCTGAAAACAATCACAAGCAAAATTGGTCAGGAGGAGATGGTCACATACAAAAATATATTAAAAAGGATCTACTTGAGAATGCTTTATTACATGCCAAAAGAAAATTATTATGCTATAATCATGAAAGAAAGCTTTTTCTGGTTAAAAAATTCTGGCTAAGAAGGGCAGTGACAGCAGCAGAGAAACCTGTAAAACAAACCCACAGTATATAACAGATGGAAAAATGAAGACACTGGTAGCATTGAATACAAATTAACATTGCAGAAATGCAAGCAGCTGATGGAAGAAAAAGGAAGAACCACTGAAAAAAGCTATGGTGAGGTTTATGTCAATAGGAGCACCTTCCTAAATGTAGCAAGAACGTTCAAATGCCAAGACATTACTTCAATAATTAGCCATGGCAGGTAAGTTATCAAATGTAATGCAGAAAAGCCAAATGTATTTGACAACTATTTCTATTCTGTATTCACAGAGATGCAGGATGCTATATTCACATCTGAGTGGCAATGAAATAACTTCTGTGCCACCAGTAATAGGTGAAAACTTTAAATAAATTCTCAGTTAAACCTTGCACTCAAGAGTAGAAAGCAGATGAAGCAGTAATCTTTCCTGATTCATAGAAATTGGTTTTTAACAAAGATACAAACACTAGAGGAGTTGCTGATGACTACAAAAAGTTAATATTGCTTCAATATCAAAAGGGTAAGTGGGATGACCTAGGCAATGATAGAATAGAGTGACATCAGTAGGAAGCAACATCAGGGAAAGGTTACCATGGGACACAATCAATAAGGCACTGAAAGACAGCAGCATAATTAACATCAATCAACACAGCATTATGGAAAATAGGCCTAGTCATGTAAATCTGATCATTTGTATGCAGTTACAACACCATTTGGTAATGGTAACTGCATTGACATGACATACTTCTATTCCTAATTCACATTATACATCAAATTAAAGTCATGCTATACATGACATCCTGATTTAAAAGATTCACCGTATTTCATCAGCATAGCTCATAGTAAATGAATTTTATAAGTGACTAAATAGAGAATCAGCATCTTAGATAACAGATACTTTGACAGTCCAACAGGGGAAAAGATATGCAAGTACAGTGTTTGGAAGCTGAAGATGGAGAGCTACAAACTGCCTTGAGACAAGCGTCATTAATTACTGGGGTAATTTACCTGTGACATTGCAGATTCTCTATTACTGATAATCTTTATATCGATACTTTAGTCTCTTTCAGGAAAATATGCTAAGCAGAAATTAAACTCCTACTGAGCAGGTGGGAAGAGTAGATATTCATGTGGTCCCCTCCGGCCTTTAAATTTATAGGTCTAGGAAACAATGACTCAGACATTATTAATCACTCTGGAATTTAATGCAATAAGTTGAATCATGCCTAATCCATTGATACAGTACGTCTTGAGTATTCTATAGGATTTTACTATAATCTAGTTCTAAATAACCAGATGACTAAAAAATTTTCAAGCTGTTTGCTTGAATTTCTGCTTTTAGAAGAAAGAGCAGCAAAAAAAACTCTGAATCATTTTACTAGCTATTTTCATAACAATAGAGAATAGTACTGAACATTTGATCCAGATACTCCCACTTAGACCACTTTGACCTACTCCTTAGGAAACATTTTTAAAATAACCCCATCAGAACAGTATTTTCCAGTGATGTGGCAGAATGTCTCCAGCCAGCTACAACTGTGACAGAAATGCACTGTACCTTTGCACAAATGCATCTTGAACATGGCTATACTTCTGTCTATACATGAAAGAGGGACTCCATCTTCCCATACATTTCTCTAAGACCTGTACAATAAAAGTGAAAGTCACAATCTCTTCCAAATACATTATTTGGTTCTGCCTATTTGAAATAAGATATCCAGTTCTTACAGAAAACTCTGAAATAGGCCAGGAATCATTTACTCCCCTAGGCTTGCAGCACGGACTCACATTCCAATACAGTCACCTAAGTTTCTTGCTCTATTTGACATCTATTCCTGGCACAGTTTTCTACTTTAGAAGCTGACTGGTTTAGCCCAAGTCTTTGTTAGTGGTTTTCTTTTTCTCCTCTCCAGAAGCTGAATATTCTTAGCAATCTCATTACATACAGCAGATTCATTTCAAAAACCCTCAAGGCTTTTTCAGCTGATGGCCTTTGATTCCCAATCACTCTAACCATAAGGAATTAAAAGCTTCATTTTTCACAGGCATTACTTCAAATACCATTGACACATTAGTTCACAAAAAGGCAGAGGACATGTTAGTGAAACAGTTATTGAATATCTATTAATAGATTAACAGCATACTTAATGGGAGGAAAAACTTTAACATTATTCTTGGAGAAGACTACTAAGAAGTTACTTCCTTTGCTTTCCCCTCCTGCCTCAGTCTTATCTGATTTAAACATGATTACAGAATAGTGAAACAGAGTTAACGGTACAATTCCATTTTCTGGATGTTGATATGGTTCCATAATTGCAATCCAAGCACTGGAGTGTCCTGAACCAAACTGGGAAATTCATGCACACATACATATGTACATGTATGTGTGTATGTAAAGAAAATTAAGAACACTTGACAGGATTCTTCTGTATTTCTCACATATCAAGTTATTTGTGCTTTCTTTCAGCTCTGTAGAAAAATTGCGAGTACCAGGTCTCAGCTTGGATGTTGTCCAGTTCACAGCAGTGGGACAGCTGAACACAGGATCTTTTTTGTGCTCCAATATCTTTGTGCAAGCCTAAACAGCAACTTTTCCACCCAAAGACATATAGCCTTAACGTCACCATTTGAGTTAGAGTTACAGCCTCATTAATGAGAGGCAGACAGTCGTAATTGCTTTTAAACCAAAAGAGTCACTGGTATATGGAAAACGCGTAAGAGGCAGTGGTAGGCACTTTAGAACATCCTCTGCATGACTCAGTGCTGCATCCTGCACATGCTTCCCCTCAGACAAGCAAAAATGTGCATTATGCTAGGCGTTCCTTCCTTCCATATCTGGCAACAGAATGCTGGAGCACAACACATCACCCATGAACCCATAAATCAGCACTCACTCACTTGACTGCTGCAGGATTGTAACTAGGATATATCTGCCACCCAGAAGACAGTAACCAATCAGTTCAGTCACCCATTTTAAAGCTGAACACATCTTCCGTGACTGAGTGTGACTGTTGCTAGAGAAACAGCTTTTGAACCTGGGTAAAAGTGAGATATTTCTCCCCAAACTCCTGTGACTGTATACAGTAGAGCTCTGCCAAAGCACCTAATCACATCTATCCACACTGACGAACCCCTAGAGCACCAGGATTACACTCTGTGGGGCATCTGCTTCAGGTGGCTCCAAGCCCTGCCAGAGTCCCTGGCGGGCATCACTAGGTCTTCCCCAGTCAGGCTGGTGCTGTCACCTGAGGGGCAGGATCAGAACTAGTCCCAGGAGAAGTAGGGAGGCATACACTAGGCATACACTGCTTTTCTCACTATTTCTTTCATGTTACTCAGACAGAAGGAAATAATGTGCAGGAATTTGGTCAAGCCCTTCAGGGTCCTCCTTCAGGCCTCCATCCCCTATTGGTACATAGCAAAAGGGGGAGCCTGCAGTAAAACTAGGCACAAGGCGAGTCAGACAACAGGATATTTTGTCCCATTGCAACCTGATCACAGAAAAAGAGGCCTTAAGGCTTGACTCAAGGCTCAGACCTTGTTTTGCAAACCTGAGGTTACTTCTGTCTGGGCCAGTGCCAGGGCCATCCAGCCAGCCTGCCTGGAGGCTGTGAGAGGAGAGAGACAGGGAAGATGCAGCTTGTGGTCTCCCTTGCCCATCCTAAGCACAGCTGGCACAGGTTTGGGGAATAGTCCCAACAGTCAGCCTCCCACCACAGCTTTGCTGCACTGTCTCCATTTTCTTGGGTCATTTGAGGCTTTGTGACCATTTTCAGCATATTACTGATGGTTGCTATGAATGAGAGACTTGATGCCCCCAAGCCAGACTGCAAATACCGCTCCGCAGCTTGCCAGCATAGCTGCCTGTTTTTCTACCCCAAGAGAGAAAGAGTTATTTATGACCTTCTAGAGGCTTCAGCATGCACTGTTATGTTCACAACACTGAACATAGCCTTGTTCCACCACAACGTGACCTTACCAGCAGCCTGTCACAGTCATCTCCTGACCTACAGGAGAACTATATTCTCCCCTCCATCCCAAGCGTAACAGATCCTAATCAAATTGTGATATATCTCAAAAACACTCTTTACATTCCAAGATAAGACTACATACAACACAAAGGAAGTAACCAGATTTAGATATCCATATCTAAACCAATACCATACATATTCAACGTATACTATACCTTCCAGATAGAATTGAAAAATAGTAGGAAAACTTAGGTCTATTTGTTCAGTAAGTCTCCACTAATACAAAAGTCTTATTGTTTGCTTTGAAGTCCCTTTTTCCCCCCCTTGCATTGCTTATAGAATCACTGGAGGGCTTTTTCTGTTGGATAGAATAGTACTGATGTAAAAATGAAAAAACTGTTTGCAAAAGAGTTCTTTGGTAGCAAATACAATAAGATCATATCAGACATCAATATCATGGAAGACAAACCTACCCAGAGTGCTGGATAAACAAATTTTACTTCCATTGGTGAAAGCTGGCCCTAGAAGACAATCCCAGAGTATAAACCTTAAAAAAACAAATAAAAGACTCATTAGAATCAGGGTAGGTTAACAAGGGCAAACATAATCAAATCTTTTGTAAACACTGTGCTGAAGATTAAACATCCTACACTTCTGATTATGATCCTGTCTCAATTTCCTTTCATTAGCACCAATGACTTGGTCCTTGTTCAAAGTGAGTAAAATGAAACAATGCACCAATTCTCAAAGCAAAACTTGAAGATAAAGAGGATATAAAGCTTTGAAACAAAAACTTCACATTTTCTGTTCTTATTTCTCTGAAGTATCTTTAGAATAAGTCAGTGTTCAATTCAAACTTATGCCCAAAAGCTGAGCAGGAAGGCAAAAGTAAACCTAGTCAGGTTTTGATTTATTTACAGATATTAAGGTAGTCAGCGCTATTTGATACCTTCTGCCTATACATTTTGAGGGGATGAGGGTGACTTTGCTCTTCAGGGAGATGTTAGCTTGATTTGTTTGTGCTGAGATCACCCAGAGAAAATTGAGGCAAAGAAAAGGATGAGGAAAATCCACCAGCAAACACATGAAAGGAGCTTCCCTTAAAAGCCAAGAAAAGAATGCAATCACAATGAATAAATATTATGAAGAGGAGAATGAGTTACAGTATCAAAAGCAGGCAGAAAACAAAGCCAGTTCTGACTTGTTCTTACCAAATCTCTTGGCTTTACCAGTAGTAAAAGAGGCTAAAGAAACTACAGAGAATCAAAGGTGAAACTGGAGTAGAGGATCTTCCAGAGGAGGGCTGCAGCCAGATCATGAGATGACACAGTATCAGAAACACCATGCACATAAATCAACAACTATGTCAGTGATGTTTATTTCTTTTATGAGAAGAAAGAAGCATGAGAGATTGAGAAGCTGGGGTGAAGAGTTGGGGAAACAGTATGAGTGCAAGGGAAACCACGAAGTGGAATATAACCGTGCGGCAAGCACAGCAGTTGGGAGACAGCAGGAGAGACTTGCTATTCTGACAGAGGAAAAGGAAGAGTTACAGAAAGTGAAGGGGAAAGGCAGAAGGACAGTTGAGGGGAGACGACTAGAAACCTCACATGACCTTTTTTTCCTTGGGGTGAAGGCATCATATGGGGAAAGGTGTAGAAAAAGGTTAGAAGGTATTAGAAGATGAAGATATAAATAGGATTTTAGGTAAGAGATTTAATCAAATAGTGGGCTTCTAAATGTGTTTTACTCGCATTCAATTCATGGTCACCATTTGTGGTAAGTTTCACAGAAGTGTGGTAAAAACTCAAATCCAAAGAAACCAGCAAAAGTTTCATTGAAACTCGTGCAAGTTATGTTTTAATAAAAAATTCTGGACCTGTTCTAGTTGTTCCCCACCATCCCCCACCTTCCATTCCCCAACAAGGCAGGTTACTTCTTTTCAAATAACTCAGTTAAATTAAGTTGTATGTTCAGCCTCATTAGCCACCATCGCCATTTCCCTGTGGTTTTAATTAGATAGGTCTCTTTGCACACAGTTACCTCAATTCTTCCCCCAAACAATCCCACAACATTGCTTTTCTTATGGAATCATTCTTCAAATGCTTCTAATTACACTGGAAGTAGCCAATGCTACCAGAGCAGAGAAGTGCTCTCCTACAGAGAAGGCAGGCCAGGAGCTGAATGGAAGGCTGGATGTGGGGAGGTACAGGCACCCCTTGGGCAGGCGTGCAGATGCTATTCCACACTGTTTTACCCACTTAAATCAATACAACTGATCAACACAACATGCTGCAGAGTAAGTTAGACCCCCTGCATAGACACCAAGCCTGATACACATGGAGTTAACTTCTCCCAGCAGCCCCCTGCTTCATGGTCCCACATCCTGGATACCACTGGTTCACAGCCTTCATGCTTGGCACATGAAGCCACAGGGCAAGAGGCCTTGGTGCCCCATTGAAGCCAGAGGGATATTTGAGGCCCCCAAATTCAGGATGGTGCCTGGCTGCAGCTCTTCCCCCAGAATACCTACCCTGGCAAGCCAAATGCAGACAGGCCACAGCACTGTCCCATAGGACAGAAAAAAAGGCTTGGGAGAGCCTGCTTCAGCAGCCTTTAAAAATGGACTGAAGGTCAGGTCAGATCCTTGATTAAACAAACACCAGAGCAATGTAGATGCCAAAAATCCTACGATGATCTCAGTTTCAAGCTGAAAACTTGAGTACAGGCTGTTTCAGAGACCAAAAGGAAGTGTGGAAGATCAAGCTCTGCCCATAAGGAGCAAGACAACTTTTTAAGGACAGGATTTCTGCTTCAGTTCCTCTTTGCTTTCTATCGGCAGAAAAAAAGCCTGCCAAATCAGCAAGCGTGCCTGGCAGGAAACCACAGGAGCAAAGGACCTCTGCTCCGCAGCGACCCCGCAGCCCCATCACAGAACACAGGCAGCTTATTTCCACCCATAGGCTATTCCTGGCTGCCAAGGGTCATAAGCAGCAAAGCAAAGATTAGAGCAACGTGTATTTGTTATGTAACAGGCATGTTGCTCGTGGCTTCTCTAGAATCCCAAAGACATTGACATTATATAATGGGAACAATCAAGCAGGGCAGCTCTTCAGTGATTTGATTTAAAAACTGCTGAGCAGCTACAATGACTGTTTGGTGTTTGTCAGACTCAGTGTTATGTTTCCGCTCTAATCAGTTTAGCATCAGAGCTGCTGCAGCTTATTGTGAGAGTAACTCGGCTCTCACTTAGCCCTAGGCCTCAAAAGCCAGAAAGGCGAGAAAGCAACCTGTGCCCACCTTCCTGCCAGGGCCTAGGTGGAGTGCAAAGCTTGTATCTTCCAAACTGAGCCTCAAGGCTTTCATTTCTTCACCTGGCACTATTGACATGAAAGGTTTACTCACATGAGTGAAGGCTGTAGACCTGGACCTAACTTTTGGGGTATGAATTAGATGATGACTGTGAGCCTGCTGACACTAGGGCTTTCATCAATGAAAGACACAGGCTCATCTGTCAGAGTCCCTAGAGTTTCCTGTCTTCAAGTTATTAAAGTAAAACAGTTCTGATAGTCATGCACACAATTTTACATGATGCATATATGCATACATATATTCTCATTTTAGAAAACAGGCATATTAACAATAAAATTCATTGTTTCCTGCCCTGGCTGTAACCCAGTCAACGCATGGACTCGAGACATGACCCATCACTATCGAGGATGGGTAGCTGCAGATGTTCCAGGATACCCTAGTGTGTAATTTCACTCAGCCTGCTGCCAAAGTCAAATTAGCATGTTGCTCAGTCGGGTTTGTTTTAGAAGTTTACTTGTCTCCATCCAGCCTACAACTGGTAAATAGGTAAAACACACAATACTTTCCCATTCTTTTAAAATACATGCTGTATTCTTTGATTTTTATGATCTGTAGGAGGGAAAGTCTTCTTTTCTTCCAGACTCTATTAAGATCTATTAGCTGTTATCCTACCCTCTCAACATTTCACCTTGTTGAAGGAACAGTGCTATTCTGGGCCCCATATTGATCATTAGTCTTGAACTCTGTAGCATTAATTTCCAAACAATGTATTCAGATTGTGACCCTGATACAGTAACCATGTTCTAAGCACTGGCTCATGATTTCAGTAATATTTTTGCAAGCAGCAGTCTGAATTCACTAATGCTCAGACAGATTTCTCCCCCCACCCCAGAAGATTGTTTTATTGTTCTTTAACATATCATTTTATCACATGCAGAACAGCTAAGCAACCTTTCAAAGGAGCAAGAGAAGAATCTCAAGTCCCAATGGGGCCAGTGCCTCAAAACAAATGCATTTGTTTTAAGAACACTGCTCTGCCGAGTGCACTCAAGCACAATCTAGTTTTAATTTTCTTATCTGCACCCAGCATCCTGCCAGCTTTCCCTGTGCACAAGCCCTCATGAGCCTTCCTAAGCTTCTGCTATGAACAAATTACAAACTTTGAAGTGTTAATATGAAACTTTAGTTTTCCCCCACTGCAATCTAAATTTTTGTTCAATAACACTAATATATCCTGTAGTGCAGAAATAAACCACTCAGGACTGATCCAGTTCCTTTGAGTTGTTCTAGCAATAAACTTGGAGAATTATAAGGACTGCCCTGGACTGAGGAAGTCTCAGGAGGCTTAAAGGGTTTCTTCCACATATCCCATGCAAAGCCAGACGGAGCAAGCAACTGGAACATCCCTGTTCTTCAGCCTACCCTTGCCAGACCGGCTCTTTGGCAGCCTTAGTATTTTGCCATAACTAGGCTTCCATTTTATTATCCCCATGGAGGTGCTCCAACTCATTTAGGATAAGCCATCAAATAGTTAAAAATCAAAAAGTAAAATTTAATAGAGAAACTAATTAGCCTACCATGAGTTCTGGATGCTTGTTTTCTTTTTAACTGTGATTTCAAAGGAAAGCTATCCTCCTCAGTGTTTGGTGATTATATCCATGAAGTGAAACTCACAGCTGTGCAAAGAAAAAGAACAAGTTATGCTTCTAGCTCCACATCCCATGCAATAGCTATTTCAAAGTTTATCCCAGGGTGTATGAAATAACATGGTGGAATAGCCCTAAGGCTCATGCAAGGAGCAGCACCATCATTGCCTAAATTAAGGGTCACGATCCCAGGTTGGGAGGGTAATCCAAATAATTTGTTCCACTTATATTTTGTCTAGCTTTGAGAATTGCATGAAATCATCGATGTGTAAGTGATGTCACAAACAGGAAAAGCCTGGGAGCTGCTGCTACACCAGATGCTTATGAGGATTAACTCATTTCTACAGAGGTTTGAGGTGGATGTCTCAGCTGGAATAAAATGCTTTTCTCCATCCACAGTTCCCAAGTGACCAGCAAGAATAGGTCAAGCTACTATTCCCAGTTTCTTTAGAGGAAGCTAAGGCACAGAGTTTTAAACTGCCTTCACCACAACTGCAGAGGAACAGAGCTTAGATCTCCTTATCTTCCAGCTGGTACACTACAAAAGCCATGTCCTGAGCTATAAATGCACTGTAAAATGCCTTCAAAGAACATTATCACAGAACCACAGAATGGTTGAGGTTGGAAGGGACCTCTGGAGATCATCTAGTCCAACCTCCCTGCTCAAGCAGGCTCCTCTAGAGCGTATTGCCCAGGATCACATCCAGGCGGGTTTTGAATATCTCCAGCAAAGGAGACTCCACTACCTCTCTGGGCAACCTGCGCCAGTGCTCCGTTACCCTCACGGGGAAGAAGTTTTTCCTCATGTTCAGATGGAACTTCCTGTGGTTCAGTTTCTGCCCGTTGCCTCTTGTCCTGTTGCACCACGGAGAAGAGACTGGCCCCATCCTCTTGACACCCCCCCCCCTTCAGATACTTGTGCACATTGATCAGATCCCCCCTCAGTCTTCTCCAGGCTGAACAGGCCCAGCTCTCTCAGCCTTTCTTCATAGGAGAGATGCTCCAGTCCCCTAATCGTCTTTGTAGACTCCAACTCAGGGTCCATTTCCCCTCCCCCCGTACTGTTGCTGAGTTTTCAAGCAAATATCTTTATTCAGATGTCCATTATAATGCTTGGATCTTTCCACCTCCAGAATTTTCTATCAAATGTAAAAACAACCACTGTATGAGCTGTTTAAATTAGTTTTTTCCTCATTCTCTATTGTGCTTTTCTTCATTTCATCTACCATTTTGTTAGAGTCAACATTTCAGACCTTGCAATTCTGTCCTGTGATGATTTCTGATGTAACCTCCATTAACTTACAAATTAATAAATGTACAATAAAAAATCCAAATTTTTGGCTTCTAAACTTTTAAAATGCCAGAAGACTACTGCTCACTGAGTAGTGTATCTCCTGTACAGCCTATGATGTGCTGTTGTGCTTTACAGAACCTGGAGAATTGCACTTCTGTGTCAGGTTAAATACAGCAGAAGTGTTGCAAGCTCTCCTCTCTCCACTATACTGCTAAATATCAAGTACTGCTTACCATACTATAGATGTGTTTTGTATAGAAATATACTTCAGATATATTTAGGCCAAGAGGATTAAGCTATCTTCATGTGTATTACAATCACTAATACAATAGATAACATCCTACAAAAAAAAACTTTGCTATATTAGAAGCCTTGTTGTAAAGGTAAGCTAGCTTTGTATCTGACCCAAACCTACATCTGTCATTTTCAACATCTGAAATAAATCTAGATTAGTCACCAAATCTCTACTTCTGTCCCTGAAGAGATGAATATACAGAAAATAAGTGATAGCATGTCAAAAACTACTTCATACAAACCACATGAGCTCAAGCCTTGCAAATCCTTTCTCACCCTCCTGGTCTCAGGTAGAGACTTCCAAACTCTGAGAATGGATCATTCAAAGAATCACTTACAGAACCAGCTTTTGCACATTGATTCTGTAGGGTCACAAGATAAAGCAAAAAAGTGAGAAATGAAGCCCTGTCTTCATGCACATAGCTTAGTGCTACCACTCTCCTGCACCACAGACTGTACTGCTCTCCTTACCAGACTGCAGAGATGGAAGGAGACAAATAGTGAGGTATATTTAATTGCAATGCAAAAGGACAGTCTAGTAAAGCTTATGCAGGAGGAGATACAGAAAAGCCACACCCCTGCTTCAAGTTGGGGGTGAGAAAATAAAACCCATAAACACTACATAGTGAAAAGAGCATAAAACAATTTCCATATGATATTACAAATGAAAACAAGGCATTTATGCATTATGTTATAACCAGTTCAGTTGGCTGCCAAGTACATCTCTAATGCAGTCATCCATTGCAAACTAATAACCTGTATGCCAACACTTGACATTTAATTATTTGCTACTGCTACTTTAGTATCAGTAAGTATTTCTAATGCTTGGCTTGCTGAGAATTTTTTTTGTTCTTCAAAGTTTTTAATACAGTAATAAATGGCAAGGGTCTTGCTGGCTTGCCCTTTTCATGTTTGGAGTGATCCAGAATTGCTGGCTGCCCAACCCAGGTGCCCTTTGGGAACACATGCTGACCTGGAGGGGGCAGGCACAGAGCACCCCCATGCTGTTGCTGCCTCCAGGAGGAGGCATCAACCAGGGAAGGAGGAAGAAGCAGAAGCAAAAGTAGGAGAGATCAAGAGGCAGGAAAGTATTAAAGGCTCTGAGATCCACCTAAAAAGGGTTGGAAACTACCAATCTAGATGAACAGCTTTTCAAGCAGGGGTGTTTTATCTGAGTAGGGAGACCTGTGCCCACTGTCCTATCTTCCATGGGTTTGTTCTTTCCTTTCCTACTGAAGTTATATGCCAGTTCATAATTTACAGTAGCTGCTTTGTTATCTTTCATCATTCTTAAGAAAGAACAATGAAGTGCTATTTAACTCCATGAAAGGGGCAGAGTTTAACTGCAGTTTTAGCACTCTAGGCCAGCTGAGTGCTGTAAACTCAATACTTGCACTGAGCTCTCCACTTTCATCAACTGGAGAGTGCACAGCCCAAGCCAGAGGTCCCCAGCCCACTCCAGCACCCAGCTCCTTACCAGTCTCTACCTGATGCTGCACAGAGAGCAATGCCTACCCCAGCCATTCCACTTATTACTTTCCTCAGAACTTTTGGCCAAATAGATTTGATAATATATATATGAGAGCATTTTAATAAGTAGGTTTCACACTATTATTTTACCATCTCAACACATGCCCTCACCACCGGTAGCAACGACCAGCAGCCCACAAACCTTCCTTGCTTTCAGCATTAGCATTTCCAAGCGGTGCAGCCAGAGCAGCCTGCGTTTCAAAGTACTTTCCGCCAATTTCCCTGCGCGGTGCTTCCCACGCAGAAGGCAGCGAGGGGCACAGACGCCCGCATACCGGAGCGACCCCCG